GTCAACGCCGCCAACACCGCCAACACCTGTCCTTCAGGAAACCACGGCAACAGACAACTCACCTGTTCCCGCCGAGCGCTGTAACACCCCCGGCCTGTGGGACGGTTCTGAGTGGGACAGAAAACACACACAGGTTCAACACAACCATAACGACCATCATCATGTGATTAACCCTGAGCCACGGGCCGTCGAGCTGGTCACCGCACACATCCAGTGACGTCACAGACCAGGATGAGGTCACGGACCAGGATGAGGTCACGGACCAGGATGAGGTCACGGAGGCGTGCTTACAAACGGCTGGTATTACTGGTCCAAATGTGATGGTGAGCACCCCCCCCCCCTCCACCTCCATCACTGACCTCTCAGAACAGACGTGTAGAGGACCACCAGTCCGGTCAAGGCACAGCTGACCAACAGCAGCAGGACGGACAGACCGATCTCAGCGACAGTCCAACGACGGCGTCCACTAGATTTCTCCATGATGTCCATTTGACTTTCTGATTTGCCCATAGTCGTCACTGCTGGCTCTGTGGGAGAGACAGACTGTGGGAGGGACAGACTGTGGGAGGGACAGACTGTGGGAGGGACAGGGACGGTCCTGTGTCTGTGTCTGTGTCTGTGTGTGTGTGGGGGGGGCAGTTCACAGAGTCTTGGAAAAACTACCCCAGAAGAAAAAACCCCTGTTGTTGCTCCTTTCAGAGTCATGTGACCAGCTCGTCTCCTTACACGCTATTGGCTCTGAGTTCATTAGTTCTCACTTTATAATTAAACTCCATCTGTTTTCAGGGCCGTCTCTAAGAAGAGTCATTACACTGTAACTGTAACTGTAACTGTAACTGACTGTAACTGTAACTGACTGTAACTGTAACTGACTGTAACTGTAACTGTAACTGTAACTGACTGTAACTGTAACTGACTGTAACTGTAACTGTAACTGACTGTAACTGTAACTGACTGTAACTGTAACTGACTGTAACTGTAACTGACTGTAACTGTAACTGACTGTAACTGTAACTGACTGTAACTGTAACTGACTGTAACTGTAACTGTAACTGACTGTAACTGTAACTGTAACTGTAACTGACTGTAACTGTAACTGTAACTGTAACTGTAACTGACTGTAACTGTAACTGTAACTGTAACGGTGGAGAACATGAACACTCTCAGCTACACACAGTGGTTTAATAATTAGTTATGTGTGAAGATAATATTACAGATGAACATTAGTGCAGAGGCAGAGAGGGGACTGGATCAACCACAGCTGGTCCAGGCAGCTGGTCCAGACCGCTGGTCCAGACAGCTGGTCCAGGCCGCTGGTCCAGACAGCTGGTCCAGACAGCTGGTCCAGACCGCTGGTCCAGACAGCTGGTCCAGGCCGCTGGTCCAGACCGCTGGTCCAGACAGCTGGCCCAGGCCGCTGGGCCAGGCCGCCGGTCCCGGCGGGCGGGNGCTGGTCCAGGCTTCAGCCCCTGGTCCTGTCATTAGGACTGGGCTGTAAATCTGAGCCTCGCTCTGCTGTGCCTCATCAGCCCCTCCTGGTGTACACTCATGGTCACACAGGGGCTTGCTGGAGCTTCAGCGCCACCTGCAGCATCACGACTCAGCAGAACTCGCTCTGTGTGAACTGGTTGTTTGTTTGTAACATTGTTGCGTTTATGAATGATGATTTCAATGATCATTATTTATATTTATTTTACACCACAGAAAACAGAAAGATTTTTTTCAACCTAAAATGATTGTGTAATGGGGTGGTTCTGAATCTGAGGGGCACGGCCGGGGAGTCGACGCCACACGGTGGACAAACACTGCTGTTTATTGACGCAGCTGTTCAAGTCTCTGAGTCAGTGGAACACAAGACTGAAAATCACAGACTGATGTCAAGTCTTCATCATGAAGGGACTGATGAAGACGAAGATGAAGACGGAGTTCTTTCACAGCTTCGATCACAGATCCATTCACTCAGAACCACAGCTGAAAACAATGTTAGGAAAAAAAACTGGACACGGCCGAGGTCAGTGGGACTGTCTGGACCAGCAGACTGTCTGGACCAGCAGACTGGCCTGGACCAGCAGACTGGTCTGGACCAGCAGACTGGCCTGGACCAGCAGACTGGCCTGGACCAGCAGAACTGTCTGGCCCAGCAGCCTGTCTGGACCAGCAGACTGGCCTGGACCAGCAGACTGGCCTGGACCAGCAGACTGGCCTGGACCAGCAGACTGGTCTGGACCAGCAGACTGGTAGAGAACACTCAGTCCCAGTACCATTCATTCTTCACCGTTCTGATTCTGAATTGTTTCATCAATTTCTGAAGGAAAACTGCTGCAAACCTGTGGTTCATGGACCAGAGAAGAACAACAATGTTCTGTTTTCTACAGCTGGTTCTGACTCCAGTGAGTTCAGACCAGTTCAGTTGAGTTAAACACAGAAACCCAGAAGACTACAGTACACAGACCACACTACAGACTAAACTGGTAGGAAAAAATATATATTTAGTTCAGTTTATCAAGTTGTACTTATTGGAAATTCTTTAAAAATCTGGATCTGAAATACAGAATATTTAGAAATATATTTGTCGTCCGTCATCATTCACTGAAAGCCTGAAAGTCAACTGACACACTAGTATTTGTGTTATACTACATCATTACTGAGTACTTTTTTAATCACCATAGTCGAGCGAAAACTGTAGTTTTGATTTCCCTCTGTGTTCAAGTATGTACTGGACACAGTATCTTGTACTGCATGTTGAAGTATCTCCCTGTTCTGTTTCCAGTCCTGGGAATAATATTCTAACATTTTTCTCTAAACTGGATTCGTCGTCTGAAGCACTTTATTTCATTCCTGGCTCCGTTGACGACAGTGACATCATCGGGTGGAAAAGTCCGAACAGATTCAACCCAACGGGAAATTTCCTCGGGGAGTAAAAGCTCGTCCCTAAACTGCTGACACTCCTGACACAAACGGGCTGTGAGGCGGTCCTTACCTTTGTCCGTGGATGGCAGAAGTCCCCTCGGCGTCCTCCCCCACTCACAGCGCCCTAATATCTCACACACCCCTCCTGAGCGTCCACTCAGAGCTGGTGTGTAGAGAAATGAGTCTGTGCTGCAGGTCGTAGGAGACGCTGCCCAAACCAGCACTGCTCTAGGAATAAGAGAGGCAGCAGAGAGGGAGGGGGGAGAGAGACAACGGCGAGGGGAGGGGGGGGGGGGGGGGAGAGAGGGAGAGAGAGGGACGGAGGGAGAGAGAGAGAGACAGGGAGGCAGCAGAGAGGGAGGGAGAGAGAGAGGCAGCAGAGAGGGAGGGGGGAGAGAGACAACGGCGAGGGGAGGGGGTGAGGTGGGGGGGGGTGATAGTAACATCGTTGTAAATGCTGGACTGATGTGGTGGAGCGGTGACGTTGTTCAGCAGACTAAAAAAATGAAACGAAAGAGAAGAATTCTGGACTTTGATCATTTATCAGTTCCTGTAACAGAACACGACACTGACCTGAGGGAAGCCTGTGGCTCAGTGGACACAGAGGAGGGTCTGTAGGAACGGGTTCATGTGTTGTTGTCATCACAGATCTCTCTCTGAACTCCTCCAAACTCCTCTCCATGATCTGTGCGGGGTTTAGGGATTAGTGGGGGGGGGGGGGGGGGGGGGGGGGGTGTTACCAGGCAGAGTGTGTGTTCCTGTAACAACAACAACAACAACAATGATAGTACAACAACCAGCCTTTGACAGAGGGGGGGTCACAGTGGGGAGAGGAGGCTGCAGTCATTCATTATTGATGCCCAGTGTCATTAGTCTTAATCCTTCCTGTCAGGACTGTGTCCTGTGAAGAACGTCTCTAAGAACATCCTCCACCTGGATTAGAAAACTCCATCTACTCCCACTGAACAGGAACAGGAACTGTTGGGAACTGTTGGGAACTGTTGGTGTAAATGTCTGTCTGTGTTAACTGTGTTAGTGTTTAGAGGCCGTTACTGTAATACTGTGAAGTATTACTTCAAACACTGCCTTCAGAACTGTCACTGAAGAGTTAGAACTTTTTATAATTAGAACATAACTTTGCTCTGCAGCGGTTCTTTCCTGTAAAATACAACAAGTTTGAAGTTTTCTGTTGGTATAAATACTGCATATCTTCAGGCTTTTACACTAAAGGTCACACGTTACTACACGCACAAAGTACAGAAGCAATATTAAAACAACAAGTAAACGCTGTGAGAGAGAAAACACGGTTTTAAAGACTATGTAGTATCATGTGAGTACTCAAGTACACACAGGAGTCAATTCAGTGTTTATACTCTGAACAGAGTATATGGACTGGAGACGTCTACGTCTTCACTCCAAACCTCTGTCTCCAAGTCAACTCCACGGGAGCAACTCCACAGGAGCAACTCAGAAAACTGAGACAGAAGTTAAATCCTTCACCTGCAGTATTATCGTTGATGGATGCAGTTTGTCGTAGTATTTGAGGTATTCTGTTTATTTACGCTACGTTCATTTCTTCAGCTGTTCTTCACCAAGACATGTTTGGCTAAGCTAATCCTGCTAAACTAATCCTGCTAAAATTTCTTCAGCTGTTCTTCACCAAGACATGTTTGGCTAATCCTGCTAAGCTAATCCTGCTAACAGCCTGTGCCCGTGCCTTTTCTTCTTCTACAAAGAGATGAGAATAAATCTGGTCATGTTGTTACCTTGTTGTTACCAAATCATAACTCCTGGGTTTTTATCTCTGCATCACTGGCCACAGAACAGAATAAAAACATCTGGTAAAAATAGATTTCATTCCAGGGTTGAGAGACAGAGTGTCGTTCAGTTTTGGCTGTTCACTTCTTCTGATCAACCAGTAACTTCATGACAACCTGCAGTTCTCTCTGGGTACCTCCTGGGGGCTGCCGTTGTCTCTGAAACACTTCATGGACTGGAGCTGTTTATGAAGAAATATATTTTTAAAAAAACACATGTTGTCTTTGTCACTCATGACCAGGGACCAACACTAGGGTCTAGTCAAATACGTGGATGAAAACTAAGGTTCCAGGGCAGACGAGAGGACAGTGATGAAGGTGGCAGTGGTTTCCTCCTGATGACACCGACCGTCTTCTCTCTGGGGACTGTGATGAAGTGCCGTGTTCTTTCTGTGCTTGTTGTTCACCACGTGTTCAGAGAAGATGCTCAGACTCAGCACTGATATTTTTGATGTCAGAACCAGGTTTCTGTGCCGCACTAAAACCAACAAACCAGAATCCAACCTCACGTTCTTTGTTGTCGTCTCATAAATCAGTGTCCATTAGACCACGGCTGCAGCACAGGTAATATATTCAAGCGCCGCTCGTTACCCTGGATATGTTAGCTGCCGTCTTCAGTCCTTCTACAGCAGAACCAGCGTCGACGCGTTCATTACCTTCATCATTTACAGGAGACGAAAAGAAGAGAGAGAGAGAGAGAGAGAGAGAGAGAGAGAGAGCGGCTCCACGGAGACTCTGTCTTCATGTCCTTTTCTTGTTTTCACCGTCCTCATCTCTGTTAATGTGGAGCAGCAGTAACAGCAGTAACAGCAGCAGCAGTAACAGCAG